GATTAAACAATGTGATATTGATCACTAACGATTGATCATTTAGTAAACTAAAACCATTTTTATGTAAATTGAACTGTAGTTTATGTAGAAAACATTTACTAGCATCTCTGACTATAGTTTAATGTTACTTTTACAAAAATCATTAAGTGTATCATCCAACATAAAAAGTTTGTATATTTAACTAATCTCTTCCTTATCTGTTTACAAAAAGTCCAACAAAATCGTTAAATTACATAAACACTAACTATTTGCCCTTAGATTTTAATGCAGAAATACTGTAGAATATATTATATCAGACAGCAGAACAAGAATTAAAGACTTTTTGCAAACCATAAAATGTGATTTTATCTGTTTTGTTTTTTACGAAACCTAATAGCCTAATACTAGAAGTTCTAAAGATTCAGTACCACTGAAGAATACATTAGCTTAATTCTTTAAGAAAAATTAGGTTGATTACATGTAAATAACGAAACAGAACTAAATAATGAGGATTACTAAGTAAATAACATTTGAATTCATTATACAATGTGCTTTTTAGAAATAAGTCGAGAATGAGGAAGATTCATCTTAGAATAGTTTGTGTCTATAATATAGTACGTAAAATGATTGGTTAATCTATGCGAATAATGAAATTACTCTAAATGGTTGAACAAACTACATATGTACACGAATATATCGATTATTCAAGTTAATATAACTTTATAATTATATCATATGGCGACTTCGGTTAAACAATCATCAAAAAATCAGAAAGATTTCGGTTCCTGTTTCTTCCTAGTATGGAACTACTTAGCATTGGACACCATGAGTTCCAGGACCTTCAGATTTGGCAGGATACATGTTACCTTTATACAGTCGAACTGGTATTTAATATGTCAAGTAATATTCTTGATATTCCAATAAGAAGCCGTGGCTAGTGCTGTTTAGTCATATCGGAGATGTGACAGATATCCTGGCTAATAATTTGTGAAGATCACACAATATCATGAACTCGTTGAACCATTGTATTTGAATCTCAATAGCCTAAAGATAACACACTAGTAGTGATCTGTGACTTTTACATAAAATATCCATATATATAGAAAAAATAATGAAATCTGATTAATTTTATGTAAATGGAGTGATACGTGGACAATGGATGTAGATTGAAATCCAAAACATACCATAAAATTGATCGCCTTCGATACTTTGTAACAAAGACGAAATATAAATAATTAAAAAAAATACTAAAACTCGAAAAATCAGAAAATGTGATATTTTTGACCAATAGATTAATACAAATTACATTGTTGGTAAGGGGATTTTATGAAGGCTCAATGTAGTGTTGAGATCAATCCATGATTATTATTGAGATCATGAACCGATTAATGTTAAACCACCACTGAAAACATGGAAGCACTCAACAACCGTTTCATTTCATTTTAGGACTCCCCTGAAGTGCACATCTATGATACCGCAAGTGAGACTCAAATCCTAGACATATCTCACGCGAAATCACTGAATCAACATCCAGTTGTATAAAGTTATGGTTCTCACTGTCAAGGTTAGATGTCCATGGTGAGACTTCTGGTATCATAACAATTCCCATACTAACGGTGAGTATCAAACTGGTACTCAATAGTTATCCAGTTACCTTTGGTTTCCAATAATTCTTTCAATTAAATCAGCACGTGATGAGAATGGTTTATGAATAACATGACTTATTTGTTCTTTAACTCTTTTAAAACAGTTTTTTCTACTATATACATTGATAGTCGTAAATATAATATATGTACATGAACTTATATATGAGTTAATCATGTATGTTTTGTTTTACATTTTCAAAAAATATCGATATTATTACAACAAAAATTCTACTTCATTAACTAAACAAACTACGCCATTCATACTATTTTTGTATACCTATGCTCAGAATTTATTATTATCATTAATTATAAATAATAATTATAACCTGGTTAAAATGTGAATGTTTGTATTATCTAACTGTTCACTGTTGTTATAATGATGTTAAATTTTGTGTTATTAGACAATATGACTTTTGTTCATAGTCTTAATATATTATTATTACTATTATTACTAATAATAATCATTATTATCAATATGACTATGGTTTATAGGATGTCCATCACTCCGTTTCAATGGTAATTCAATTCATGTTTGGTTGATCACTGCATAAAACTATTTTAATTCTAACCCATCATACTTTGAATAATCTAGCATACAATTACAAAAGACATGTCACACATAATTCTAGTATATACATGTTTAGGTAGTTATATGATTAAATAGGTTTTATTGTTGATAATCACTTAAATGGTTTGCATATTTGTTTAATACAAATGTAATTTCATCAAGTATTGATATAAGTTGAAAGCCATTCATGACCAAGGAATATTAGATAGTTGCTCTATCATAGTTCTGGAATCTTCAACAGACTTTTCAACATGATATTAAGTCTAGAACTTCCTGATTGCACCGTAAGCATGTGTATACATGCTTTAAGAATATGTATGGATGTATAAAGCTTTTATTAACATAACTGTGATAAAAAATAAGAAAAAGATCATCTTTTATCAACATATACTTTTGTACAGTTACTCAGTTTCCTTTTATTATCTGTTTCCTTTAATGTATTTAAACCACTGTTGTTGAAATTCTTGGTTAATCCACTTATAAGTGTCAATATATGAGAATCTATGAGAATATTTATAATTAGACATTTTATAATTAGGGAGGAGTTTTGCGGATATTATAGTGATTTTCTAATTGAATTCATGAATCAATTGAAGCTAAACCACCATGGAAGCACTGGACAGCCGTTTCGTCCCAGTATGTGACTCCTCTGTAGTTCGCATCCACGATTCCACCCCACGGAACTCGAGCCCAGGATCTATCGGTCTCTTGCACGAACGCTTAACCTCTAAACCACTGAGTCGGCATCCAACGATGTTAATGTCTAACTTCAACCAATCCACGACATTGAGCCACCATCCACCATTGTCTTCAGTGAGTTATTATCTCACAACAGACCCAGTTGAACTCCAACTCCACTGGTCTCTGCCTCTCACTAGAACCTCAGGGAATTCCTCTTGAAGTCAGTCGCTAGTGATTTATTGAAAACCCTAATACGTATTATTAACAAATTATGAATCAATTGTATAAAATGTATCTTTACGTAAATTTTACGCAATTTGTTTTACATGTTTATTGCTTCATACCTATTTTATTCACTTAAATAATACTAGGAAGCATGGTACTGATGATTTAGACATTTATAATGTAATGCTAGATATGAATCTACACTCTAGTGAGAAATCTTATAACCAAAATGTTGTCATTTTTAACCCAGACACTAGTCAGGCATATGGTAAGCATAAAATTTCAAAGTGTTCTTAATTAAGATACTGACATGGGACTTTTATTGATGAAACTAACATTTGCTTATGCAACTACCAACGTCAAGAACACTAGGTTACTATTGAGATGTATGTAATTGTATTCGGTTTTCATCAGTCTCCTATAATCATAAATTTTTTCTCGCCTTAATACGAAAAACTGACTCTATATTTGAATCTCTTCATGGATCAAAAAACTTGCCCACAAATGTAAGTTTTATCAAAAGACTGAACACATAACACCAACATTTCTCAGATTGTAAAATTTACCTTGCGAGTGATGCATAGAATTTAATCAGTGTTGTCTGTTCAAAAACACACTGTGCATGGCTAACATTTATTGACTCGAACTGATTAACATAATGGGATAGAAGATCATGGTACAATCCAATAGGATATTATGCTTTGTTTATGAGACTGATCACTTTATGTACTTCATATATATATATATATGACAATTTATATTTGAAATCAATTATTCGATTACATCGAGGATAATGCCAACAATGAGAATCAGCTTAAACCACCATGCAACATATTTAATGAAATGTTTACCAAAACTTTAATATGTGTTATGTTTCCCTATAACAGTCCCAAACAACCTCACTTCTGGGAGCTTTGACGTGTATTTCTAAATAATCTTGAAGGTCACATGCGGTTTGTAGATCGCAGTTTATTCATTGCTGTTCTTGACTCATAAATTAAATCCATATGTATGTTTTAAAAATACTCAATAAATAGAGGGAACCGCAAAGTGTTCATAATAATTTATCCAGGACATATTTACAAGCCTTACCACAAACATCGAATTCTTGTAAGAGATCCTGATAAAATTAATTTGAAACAGTTTATACAAAAGAACATGATAATACTCATTAACTATCATTCATCTGATTGTTAAAATTGGGGCCTTAATTCCATAGATGAAGGTGTTTAAAAGCATTTAGTTCGTTTTTCCACTATGTAATAATCAATTAAATGACTCTCTTTCTGTGTTCTAGTTGCTGCTAATAATCAAAATAACCTTGAATTTAGTATATATTATTTATTCATTGAAGTGCAGGTATTTGCAGTTAACATATCTTAGATGAGGAAACAATACTGATAACCAAAACTTACTAACTAATGACTCTACTGATAAGAACTAGTTTAATCAGATATCAACATTTTAATCTTTTAGTTGATGAGATTTAAATTCAGATACTTTGGTATTGCTTCATACTACTACTACTACTACTACGTGGTTCGAATAGTCTTATTAGACAATCTGTTTTACGGTTGAACTAAACACCATATACCATTTTTCTTTTGAGCACTTGAATCGGTTAAATAGGAATCATATAAGTTGCATTTTTCATGAATAACAATTAATTCTTTATAGCTCATTAAGACATAAGGTGCATGAGAAGTTCAATCATATTTATTGTCCATTAGTACTAACTGATTGTGATTAGATCATAGTTTCGGTGTATCAGATCACTTTTAGAGGAATACAGAATACTGTCAAAACAAACTTCTTAGAAGATTTTATTTTTTCTAAATAATTTCATAATATAATTATTATTATTGCTGTTATTTTTTTTTCATTACATTACTTATTTACAGAAAGAACAAAGGGCTACAGTTATTATAGCCGTAGCGTTAGTAGCAATTATCACAATTTGTGTAATTTTAATTATTCTACGAACATTGAGAAAGAAATCAAATAAAAAATCCAGCGGAGTAAGTTAGTTTTTTTAAATTTAGCTATACTTTTTTATTAACTAGAAATTTTCACTTTAAATAATAATCTTTTATCAAAGTGATTTATTAAACAAACTGATTATTTGCATGACTGTCTAGCAATAGGTTCAAGAAATTTATCAGAATTCACTAAAATATGGGAGCACACTATGCATTAATATTCAAGTTGTGAGATCTCAGTATGCAGCAGAAGATTGACATTGCCAATAAATTGTATAGTCTGTAATAACTCATCAACCAACTATAACCGTCAGTGATTGTTTCATTGACAACTATTTCTGATGTAAACAGTTCAAGCTTAATGTATAATATTCAATAAAGGATTACAATCAATTCAAATCTGAAACACTACAAAATAAAAAGAAATGTTTGTTCAGTTCATATGGATATACACTAGATCTCGATTCATGTATAATTGAGATCAGTTACTTTTCATTTTGACGTCCTCAAACGACTAGAATTAAATAGCACATATATACGAATCAGTATATGGAACCATAAATCATCTTCCTTACAAAGTTGGGAATAGTGGATAAAATAGTCGCATGAAAATAGGGTTATGGACTGAAATTAATCAGCGACGTTTTTGAAGTACATAACCTACCTACACATTTTTTTTGTTTTAGTTTCCTATTACGAACCAAAAGAAAACATCTCAATCCGATAAAATTAACAAAGTAAGTTATAAATATACTGGACAAACGGTTGCTGTAAATAAGCTACGTTCACTATCAACATTTTCGACATAAACAATTAATGTATTTGCCTACTTCAACAAAATTTATGACGGACGGCTCAGTCTCATTTTTAAATCCTAATGAATACTTCTATCTAAAAATGTTAAAAGTGGCAAATAATCTTCAGAGCACAAGTTTCCGGAAACTAGAGATAAATTGAACCTTTTTCCTAAGGCGGAAATGACGTCGTCCATACGTAATCTGAACTCTAGGAGCACATCCTCCTCTTACTGCTGATCGGCTAAATACCCCATTCCAATTAATTCAACTTGAACAATCTAGTAGTACAACTGTCGACTACGCAATGTAAGTATGACTCAAAGCTGAATATATAAATCTACGTTTCATCACTAACTTGTGTTATAGTAATATTACATGACTCAAGCTGTGTATTGGACGTCAAAATGAACTCTGACACTCTCCAAGCAGTAAGTACAAACCCACCACTTTGGCAGGGTTTAGAGCAGATAAGTGGTTAAGTAGTGGCCGATAATCAATTACTGAACTGTGCACACTTGTATGGAAACTGACGACATATGAGTTATTTGCAACCTATGAGTTAAATGTTCGTCTACATTGCCAGTTGCTGTTAACTAAAGACATCTCTTCTATATTGCACAAAGCACTAGTTCAGGAGCCTGTTATTCATTACAAAAATTTCGCATTCAATATTGTTCACTTATTTGACATTAGTGTATTAACTTGTCAAGCAGTCGTGAGGGGACTCGGGACACGTCTTCGTAAGACTCAGCATTTGTCAGCGAGCCTTATGTGGAATCTTGGAGTTGATGCTCTAAGACTTAAACCTATATTGACTACCTTCAGTCCTCCACGTCACCATTAAGCTATTCGGATAGCAACCTACCTCCTATAGAACTAAGACATTCAGTGATAACTCACAGAGTAGTAAACAATGCCATGTAACCCGAATGACACAGGTGTTAATCCCATAAGTAGCATCGGTTGATCTTCCTGACAAGTCCCAACTAGCAAGGAGAACAAGTTCAAAAGCAGCTGGGAAATATATCAACTCGACCCAGCATCCAAACACAGTACACGCGATATTTCAATCAGACTGATTGCCAAGCTGCAAATCGACTAATAGGATCCGATAGAGTGAAGGAAATGACGTTATTCATCACCCGCTGATCAGTCTGTGTAAGTGCATAAACCTTGAAAGTTTCACTGAAGACAAAATATCAGGTAAGTTTATCTACGGGATTTACTTGCCACCATTACTCACTAAAGCCATGCGAAAACTAGTCGTTCTATGAAGTTATAACCTGTGCATATCCCTCTAAAACCATGATAAGGTTACTCAACCGCGTACCGAGGAAAAGTAAGTAAATATAAGACAGAGAATATGCGATACGACCGAGTGGATTGCACAAATATTAGATTACAAGTGACCTTTGATTTAACAAAAATCTACATACATTCCTACTCAACAAAATTGACTAATGTTGATTGGTAGAAAGAATAAGACCTTTTTAGATTAGGTATCAGTATGAATCAATATCGAAAGTACCCAAAAGTATAAGATGGAATTTAAATAATGTGACATTCTCTTTGATGCTGAAGCGACTAACCAAATATACTAGATGACTCATGATAAATGTACATGCAGCCTGTTACGCGGAGATTGGCAATACTATTTTCTTAAACGAAATGTTGCAAATCAAGATTAATGGAAGTTGAACTTTTCTCTGAACATTTTAGGTAGAAGCGAGAGGAAATTATTCGGGTATGTCCAATGATAACCATGGCGAACCTAAGTGGATTATGCAGCAACAATTAACAGTAGGCCATACATCTGATAGGATAAGGAAAGTCCCGACACGTAAGTTTAAGCGTACCTTATAAAGAACATCCTCGGTATCTTTTTTTCCAATAGGAAACCCGGAAAACAAGAAATGGTACGATTCAGCAGCAATTCCTTTTATGGATGATGTGTCTTCATCGACGGACAACATGCACACAGATCAACTTGAAAATCAACAAATATGATTAAATGTATATATCTTCAGTATGTAAAGATAATCATTAAGAAGTTAATATGTAATTATTGAGTCTTCTTTTATTGAGATCAATGATCAAACGTTCTTGTTAGATAAGTTATTCGCATAAGAAAACAAAATTCGATGCGTGTATTTTATTTCAAGAAAAACAACTATATTGTTATTGCGTTTCGGAAAATCATGTGTATTTTTGCAAGAATATAATCAATGAAACAGTCAGTTACACAAACTTAAATGTCGAACGAACAACGATCTTCATACAGAGAAATGTAAGCTTAGCTAAATGCCGTAAGAGAATAAACAAGAGAAATTATTATACACAAGCTTTAAAAAAGTCGTTTTAAAACTAGTCAATATGATTTTTCTCTTTAAATTCATTCATGTTTGCTTCATTGACTTGATGATCTGAAATAAATGTCCGCAAATCCTCTATGCACCGTTGGCCTCTTTCATGTAAGATTTCTTTGAGCATTGGCATAAGACGGCTTTCGAGATCTTGATCTTTGCTGAAACAAATATAAATAGTAAAGATTAACACATTTTCAGATGGGAGAAATAATCTATATTCAAAGTACAATCAGTGTTCTGGTAAAAAAATATAATTTTAAACATTTATTTATCTAACAATCTTACCATTATAATAGGTCACTACAAAAGGAAAAATTCTGAATTCGTTAAAACAAACAAGTTAATGGACTTGCAAAGGGCCATGTATCAGGTTGGATGAGAAAATATATGGCCATGGTATGAATGTCGTCGCCGAAACAACTCAAACGATAAAAATGACGGGAACTCGACAAACAGGATGATTAAGACTATGAGTTCAAATACTGAACATTAAGAGATATTCAACTATGTAGTTTTTCACATACGATATAAGTTAGCGTTACCCTAAAATATGAAATACACAAGTAGACAAGCAGAAAAAACATAGGACCTGAGACAGGCATATCGGTTAAAGATGTTGCAGATCACATCTTGTCCCATCATATCATTAGAGGAAATCAACAAGAGGAAAAGCAAAGAATTGGAAGAAATAATAACTAATAGTAAATTGAGAAAAGTGAGAGTCCAAAGAATTAGAGGACTTGTGTTGCAGTATTACGACCAAATTTTAAATGGGGATAGAAAATAAAAGTAAATGGGTAACTGCAACCAATCACGAAGTCTGCATTTCTTTACATAGTTTGAATTAGTAGCTAGTGCCTCCACACAAACAATTTCTTAGTTCCAGTTGTCTAACCAACTCTTACTCTTACGTCGGCATAGCGCGACAAGGTGGGAGATGGTCACCAAACGTAACAACATATATAATCTAAAATCCACAAAGTTATTAATCGTTTGACCACTTTCATAGAGTACTCTGCACCGAAAAATCAAGGTTGTTTATCAATCCCATCACAGGTTACCAATGCTGACTACGCTGATCACATTATTTCAAGTACGTTCTTCAAGTTTATAGTCCATGACTCACATCAGTAAGCTCATGCAGAACAGTGTTGAACACAACTTAGTTGAGTATATGACAGACAATACTGGTAGGACATATATCCGTTTATAGTAGGTCACACCTATCACAGGGGTGGTAGGTGTTAGTAACTTTGATGAGCCTAACATAAAATACCATAGGTAGATTCAACAGTTTACGATAATCAAAATACGAATTGCATTAGCCAAGAATTCGGATTGTTGTCCAACTTTCTTTACAGGTTCAAAAAAATATAAGTGAAACGTCTTCGCAAAAAGTGATTGAGCATTGGAATTCATTAAAACAGACCCAGCAATTGGTGCAGAAACTTTTCATTTACCAAGTGTAACAAGTATAGCCTCATGTTAATTAGCGATATACAGGCGTAGGGAGAGACAGCTACTGCGCAATGTAAGGAAAAATAAAAAAAGAATCTAGCCACTTACTTTTGTAGAAAACAGTAGTTTTACACATTGACATTAGAATAAAATGATTAATGCATAAAGTAGACAATGGATGACGACAATTCAATAATTGCAGCATCAGAACGAGCAACACGGATAATGTGAAAATCATCAGCCAATCGAGGTAAAATATACATTATTGCCAGGTTCGATAAAACACGAACGAGGATGAAAGTAAGCACCCAATCAACAATTGTCTGACCAATCAAAACATTCTACAAAAGAGCAAACGCCAACTGGAATTGTAGGCGTAGTTGAGTGTATATTTAAATTACACAACCAGCATATGGCCCGTTAACAGGTAGGCACCGTACGAGTCTCAGACATATTGGCTGGCATCTAACGTAATTATTCATATTAATATCCATTATTTATAAATCAATTCACTGTTCCATACTCTGAGGGTAAGAAATCAGCCCTTATCCGTAGGCAGAGAATATTGCCATGTAATGCTAAAATTGCCAAAGCACAGATTTATATTAGATTTAAGCGTAAGAGGAAGGATACATTACGGACACAAATAAAAATTACCTTATTAGCATGCGAACGACTGTAGTGAATGCCTCGCAATCCCGTTTATAATCCTTTTAATATATTAAAGCATTAAAAATAAAGTTACCTCTGCCAGTGCATCTTTACGATCACGAATCAGATTCATTACATCATCTGAACAATCACCTGACTCATTTTCTTCATTATTGACAGATGATGCAGAGCCGACGGTAACTGACTGATTGTTACCTAGAATTCAGAAGCAATACATGGCACATTAACAGTTAATCAATAATCTGGTAAACAACGCTAATTCGTCTGGAACGTTATGACTAAGTCTACTTAACAAATAAGAGACTGACCACCCACACAAGATTAAGCACCAAACCTCTAGAATGTATACCACTAATCAAAATTAGTTTGAAAATGGAACCATGACTTAATGGTCGAAACAGTAGACCTCTAATCAATATTTCACAGGTTTTAACATCGTTTAGGTAGTCATTTAGTACAACCAATCCCTACATTAAGTGTAGTTTGAAACTGTACCTGGTAAATAAGCTCATTAGATCATACCGTGACTGAAATTTTTAGATTGAATGAAGTGTAACGATCATAGGTTTTGATTAAATTTGTGACACTTGAAAGATAATTTGCCGATTAGGTGTGCATTTTATGTTGAAGACAAAGTTAAAAGTAGGACATGAAAATTGAGTTGTCATACCATGACCAATAGAATATTGTTGGAAAAATGCCTTGGAACTACGGTATTTGGTATGACAGGAAACACTATTGCATATTTATGTTCATTTTTATCTAGTTAACTTACAATGGATGTGATTCTTTGGATGAATCTTTTATTGTGTAATATACAGCACTTTCATGGAACTGATAAGTCTTGTGTATATGCATACACATGTTACTCAGGTGCTTAATCGATTGAAACGAAACGAAAAATGACGTAAATACACACTGAATAGTAAGCTTAGTGTTTTTTATACGACAAGAAAATTGTTGAGTGTAGTTTGTATCTTGCTGAAATTAGTCAAAGTAAGTCATTTGGTTGTCATATACACCGATGAATTTTAATGTGATATTATGGGGAACGAATTGTGACTACAACCAATCAGATCTTAACCATGAACAATGCAACCTGAAAACGAGTTTAGTTCGTTTAAGAGCAGAATATACAACCACGTTACACCCAACAAAACTTATTGGCAGTGTGTAAACATACAATAGCTAACTTTCGAATCTCTACTGGTTGACTTACATAAGTAGACAGAAAATCTGAAGGTCTACTGTGTCTATAAAACCTACCGAATGAATATTTCAACGAAAATTCCCATACATATTGCATGTTATATAATGTACGATTGAGTGCAGTACAAAATAAAGTACTGATAATAAGCTGCATATGCATTGATTTTCCTCTTAGTATAGATGAATCTAGCTTGATTTATAAACAAATAAAATTTATTTAATCAGACATCAGGACCAAAGTATCCGTTCATAAACCATTATATCTGAGATATCGGATCCACTATAGTTTATTTATTTGGTTAAATGCACTGACCAATAACAGAGGTTTTAATATATTCTTGTTAATTTCCAACTGATTAATATACTTGACTGCAGAAATTTGAAAATGGTTGGAATTTTGTCCTGCTGATTCTCATAAAGGCTATTGTTCAAGTGAAACGATTAAAATACTAATGTTTTTAAAGTTAAACAAAAAACAAAGACCAAAAGTAATAAATGCTTTGCATCATTTCTGACAAAATAGTCTAATTTGGAAAAATCGAACTGAGTGGATATTAGTGAACGACTAGCATTAGGAGTTACATCCTACATCTTAATCACGTGAAAGCTGGTTCCTATCTTCGTAGTTAATTGAATACTCATACATTTGCAGAACAGGTCATATGAACACTAATTTGCAAAGAAAATTGCAGGTGAAAAAGGTATCGAGCCCGTATTTCATAAAATTAAGTACTCATTAGATATACCAATTGGTTAAGCATAATCGATATTAAATGACTTTGAAAGCATAAAATATTGTCCTATCATCATGTATTTGAACTATGATATATATACCGTCTTTAATGTCTTATTATAACAGCATATTAAGCAGCTGAATAAATGCTACGTGGGAGGCTTTTAACTTCGAAACAAATTAATTCTCTTACAATTCTATGCATTAACAATAGACTATGATTTTTAGTAATCAGGGTGGTTTGACTAAATCTTTAAAGAAGTCAATAGTTACTAAATTGATGACACTGTTTGTCCGAGCAGAATCGAAATACCCTGATCCAAGTCATGAAAATATTGTCTATCTGCTTATGTAGTCGGTCATTATAAAAAAAACTTACTTAGGAAATTCCCGTTTGATTAACAGGAAAAACTTAATTACTGCTGTCAATCAAGGAATCAAATAAAGATATAAGTATGTAGCCGCATATCTCGTTAGGACACAAAAACCACACTGTTTCATGTTTCCTGCTTAAGACAACATACTTATGACTTAAAGTGAGGTTGTAAATGTCTCATTTTAGGAAATGATATTAGTCTGTGTTCTAATACGCTATCGTAAACAGAAAGGAAACTTGGTTTTCAGAAATTTCAAGCTTCCCACAAAAAGAATTAATCCTACAATGAAAAACAAAGTAGTCAAATGTCTACAGAACGGAATATTTTGTACTCCAATAAAAAATTCAGTAGTTAATTGCGACCCTTGAACTATAATCACAGGTGTAAGGAAAGCAAACAATAAGATATCAGCATAACTTACTGTTCGAGGATGAACTGGACTTTTTAAATAACGGTTTCAAAGATTCTTTTGCTTTAATATTGTTATTTCTTGAGATGGTCACTTGATTACCATCAACTTTCGAAGTATCTGAATGATCATTATCGCTAGAGTTATTTGCCGACGAAACGGCAGACTTTTTCTTTAGCTTAGCCGATTTATTGATAGTTGAGGGCCATTTCTCCTCTTTATGGAGATGGTCATCATTGACTTCATCTTCTGGAGTTCGCCAACGTTTGGTTGCACGTGATGTTAAAGACAGTGGAGAACGTGCAGTATCCGAGCGTCGAGAATTGTGACTATTCTTCGAAGTTTTTTTTTCAATCGTTGGGGGAGAATCTTTAGTTGCAGATTTTTTATTTGCTTTGACAGCACTTGGTCTCTGTTTATGATCGGCATTTGCTTGACGTATCGTTGTTGAGTTTTCGACTCTCGGTGTTTTTTGAAGACTGGTTCGTTGAGTTTTACTCCGAGTATGGGGTGGTTCAGGAAGAGATTCTGTGCTGCTAATGAATTTATTTAAAAATATGTTATAAAAGATCCATGCAAATAAAACATAATTAAGCCAAGGTCCAATAGAATGAAGTAACCGAAAACGGTTCATAACATACCGAGTATATTATTGGAAGTGAGTACTTAACAGTCCTGTTTTTTCTAGATAGCTTTACTGACGGCTGACTTTTATTCCCCGGTTCATCGATGACTTTATCGAGCACTAATTATCGCTTTGCCTTTCCTATCTCTTTTACTTTTGTTGTTAACATCCTTTTACAGTCAATGCGTAAACTTAATGTTAAAGTACATCGCTTTTAATCGTTTCCCGAACCTGCCAGGATTTCTGTAAATAGTATTTCCAAAACTTCCAATTCGGGTTGCAGACAGCAATCACTTTTGTATTTATCTTTTAGGATATCATGTCAAGCATCATTGAGATGGAGTCTCTTTTGCGAGCACATTCTTAATATATTCGTTCTCTAATTACGAACTAAAGTTTGCGTTCTTACTTTTCTGTGTTAAAGCAAGTGGAAACGTGTGCTTTCAGTAATGTTATCGGAGTCTAAACATGTACTTCAGTAGGACGGAAAGTCTTCTATCAAACCTTTCCAATGATGACTGATTTCTGACGACACCCTATGAGCAGGTAATCAAAAACTCAACTATAAGTCCATCCTAACCTTATGTGAAAATGTTTTACCTAAAAGTATTTGCTTTAAGTCGTACACCCAATGCCAAAAGTAGTGAATCCAGATAAAAGCTGTGGTAATAAACACTCGTAATCTCGGTTTTAAGCACTGCTTTTAAAATGCACGAAACCAGTGAGATTAATGAAAATCTACCCAGAAATACGCATGATAAACAGTATTGATGCTATATTAAAATTTTTCCTCAATAATGTTGACGAATAATACGATGACTAAAGAATAAGCCTAACAGTCAGGTCATTAATTGGCGGATGAGTGACCGACAAGTCAATTTCTTTCATTTGACAATGACATTTTATTACGTTTATTGTGTTTATATTTCGTAAATGACCATGTTGTTTTATTATATTGAAAGCTATTCATTTGGCTAGTGGTTTAGATTTTACTTCCAATTATTACAGGGGCTTAGGCAACCATTACGGTATCGTGTGTACCTATTACTGTCACATTATATCATAGGCTTCATTAATCGACAAACATCCTATTTACTGATTTTAACAATCGATAATCTCTTCTAACAAAATCACAGGAAACCACCGCAACACAGGAGACGGGCGGGAAATGGAAGTCACAAGGCCCAGAGTGGTAGACACCTAAAAAACAAAATATGATGGTTTAAAACGTCTAGTTGACTACGCCGTAAGTTACCAGTATTCGATCACAGATATCTCAGAAATATTTCTCACATCTGCTGAGATCACCAGGTAAATAATAGTGAGGTTATACGCAAGGTGTTAGAGAATGATGGTAAACCAGCTGATGAGGTTGTGAATCCTTATCGACTGAGATGGTTGGGTCATGTATTATGCATGCTCAACTACCGATTACCACGACGCACAATGCTGATTATTGTTGGAGACGGTTAGAAAAGTTAGGTGCGACCAAACCAAAACGTGGCACCAGTGCTTGAATCATTAACTTTTAGCCTTAGCCATGTTGGTAGATGCAGACTACTTGGTTGGGGTCTGTGTTGCTTAACCACTGGGCCGTAAGTTTGAACTGTTTCTTTTAATCTGGTTTGTGTAGTATCGGCTATGGCCGATAACATGAACAATTACTTGATTAGCATTGAAACCGATAAGAATGAAAATCTGTTAGGATTAAGATGGTCACTTATCGAGGCAGTAACCCTTTGCTTTACGCAGTCGACTCAGAAACTGTATCACAAGTTTGATTTAGCTTGAGTAACCAGATAGTATTGCTAGTCTTCCATAATCTATGTGATTTGGAGTCACGTACTTAATTGGTGAATTGAATTATTTTGCTGCACCGATAAGTAAAAGAGTAAGGATAATGATGATCAATTCTGTTTCCAATGATCTGTAATTATAAAGTGTAGACACTTGAGACAGGAACTTCGACACAACGTCTTCGGAGTAGCCGTGAGCCCAGTAGACTCACTAGTTGGTATTTGATACAACCTCCAAAGAGGAATATTTAGAGAAAATACGCCAGGTTTTTGGCGAGATGAACGAGGTGAATAGTAGCAAGATAATTGATAAATGTTGGGACTAAAATGAATTTACTTAAAACGAAATGAATGTTGAAACCCTTGACTTTCAGTATGTCATATGCTGGGAAATCGCTTGATCTAGTTAGAATTCGGTAAAGAAATAGCGTATTAAGCCTCTACATAATAAAACTGAACTTGTATTTAGTTACTGAGGTGTGTGGTACACCAGGTAGGATACCAATATTAGTTTAGTTAAGCAGGAAAACAGCCAAAAAAATAAGTTTGACAGGTTATTTCTAATAATCTTTTGAAAACTACCGATCAAACCCCTTAAAACTCATCTCCATTAGTGATCATCATAGTTTATACAAAGGCAATCATTAAGCTATCATACTCAGTTTACTGCGTATTTAGTTAGGAAGTTTGAAAAACGCAGCACGACAATTGGGGCAGCAAATTGGATGTGAGTGTAATAAGTTGAAGAAGATCTAGAAAATCATTTAGAATAAATAAACATTAAAATATCTGACATTCTGAAGATTTAAGGTTAAATCTAATTACTTGTTGGCTGGTGAATGGGTATTCCTTGTTTTTCTACGTTTCTGTGATTCAACTGCAGGTTGGCTTTTTTCATCACTATTTGAAGCGGCTTCAGTCTTGGACTTGGTGGTACGATTACGAACGTCATTATAGGGTGGTGAAATCGAATGCATCCGTTTGCGTCCACTGCGATTTCTCGGGGAATCGAAAGCACCATTGGAACTAGCGACCGAGGCACCTGAAGATGAATTTTCTGAAGAGTGGCGTGTTTTTCTAGAAAAACTGCCACCTCGGACAGATATCTGTTCAAAACCCTGTCGAACATGGCGTCTTAGTTGTATTAGTCCACTTACCAATGAAGACCCGTCTTCCGGATTAGGAGCAGGAGCATTTGAGAAAGCAAGGTTTCGTTCGCTCATTGAGGGTGACCCTAGAAAATACGAGGAACTAATTAACGTACGATGAGTGATGTCAAATTACGAAACAAAAGTCATTAAAGACGCGTAAAAATTGAGAAACTGAAGGGATTTGTTGCACGTTAATCTGAAAACAGCAAAGAAAACTTGCTTGAAACTTGTTGGTTTCTTCGCGTTTGGTAATCTGGAGATGAGTTTTCGTCTGCACTATGATCATACTGTTCATTATTCCTATTTGACGAGCGACGTTTGGATGAACCTTGACGCTTTCGCCCCTCTGAAGATCGACTACTGCTACTACTTCGATCATGAGAATGGCGAGAGATGTTGCGAGAGGCACGTCGATCGTCGTAGATGTGACCATTAAATTCAGATTCACTTGCATGCATTGAATCCCCCGGATTTGAAGGCAAAGAATGCCTAGAAGCAAAACAATCTTATCATAAAATCTTGGGACACGTAGCAACAGAATTATTTAATTTTATTACTCAAAATTCACCAATTTACTACGTCGTACAGCGGTACCACCAGCCTGGAGAATTTTCGAAACAATTTACGAAGGCTGTAACATGAATGGACAATTTTATTTCTCCTAGAAGGATTAGCTATAATATAGATCTGTAAGTTATTCAAATAGCTCGTTAAGAGAAACTAATTAGTTTTTACAAATTTATGTATATGAAACCTACTTAAATAAGCATCTTTGAAATTTTTTGACATTGTATTTAAGAGATATGAACAGCCTAATCATACCGGGTTTTTGGTAGAAGATACGCCTAAGGTTTTACACGAAACACTTTTGGTGAACCAAAGAATTACCAGTTGCGAAAACTGGCCACATGAGCACGCTGACACCAAGGGCTATTAATTTCAGAATAGAGAAGTATATTTTCGTGTATGATTTTTAGTAAGCTTAGAGGTTTTGTTTGCTACCGCGACTTTAGTATGTTAATGAATCATCTTCCACTTTATGTTTTGCTGACAATCTTGTGAACTGGATCTGATACAACAAGTTAATGGCACTAAACATAATGCTACTACCGGTTACAAACAATTCAACTGGTCCACTATGAAAAACTCGGAAGGATGGGGACACACGTCGTTTCTACCTACGCTCCTACTAACTGCAGCCCGGATGAAGTGAAACATGAGTTTTACAGAAAACTAATTTTAAGCATAAGGAGAGACTCGTATATCCTAGCGAAAATTAATTTAAGAGTAACTCCAGAGAACTATTTAAACTAATATTATCTATATATTCTTATGGCAAAACTACTGAGTAATTAGACTATGTATATCTATATTCCTCTTATTATAGGCTTCACTTTGGCCTATAAATTATTATTATACGACTTACTGTTCTTAAGTTATGTTCACTTTATTGATTATAGTCTCCCCACGTTCATAGCCACATTTTGGCTTGATTTAGTGTAAATGTTATTTCCTATTTTATGATGTGATATAGTCTGTTTGTCTGGTATATAAACCAAATATGTTTGAAATAAATGACTCGCATGGTGGAACCTGTTATTAGTGTTCTGGAATCAGTCGAACGAGCTAGGCGAACAAAAGGCCAATAAGGACGCTAGGCTAATCAGACCGATCGAACGTCAATGGTTTAGTACAGTACTATTTTATTATTTTATTTTAACACATAGATATTGGTACAAGGAGGCACCAAATACATATGCGCCACACAGAGCTCATTTGATATGTGTGAGGGCTGTGATACTGCCCCGGTGCCCAAACCGAAGCAGTACAAGAGTGAATAAGTCGTATTTCGATTGCCGAAATAATTACGTGATAACTAGCAGGACTTAGAGTAACAAGAGACTTCGTCTAACATGGTAACCCCCTGTATCAAACCAACGGTGGACTCAAACATACCATATAACCATCAGTCATCTTTAGAGAGGCTCGATACGAGACTGTCGCTCGTTCTCGAACACCTGCTTGAACTCCGACCATGCACTTGCTTGTGCCCCACTAGACGCAGAAATAAAAAATTAAGAAGACCCACTAAACTTGAATTTAGTGATGAGAAAGCTAGAAGTAGATTCCAGGAACAACTGAGGTCACACATAGTTCTGAAAACGAGGCTGACCCAGGTGTTGCTTGGAAAGATACACAAGCAACTGTGACATTTATTAGTGATTTAAACCGAATGGGCACAAAAAACCAATGGATTTCTCCTAAGTCTATTGAACTGGTAGATTCTCGAAAACTAATTCATCAGACCCTGAACTTGAAGAACGAAAACAAACCAGATCTAGGTTTACCAAAAGTCTAAAGAACGACCGTGAGCGGTGCTGGACAACGAAGCAAAAGATATAGGATAGACGGTGGCTGTAGGTAACACAAGACAGATTTCCAGGCTAATAAAAGAAACGAATTAAGAAGTCAAGTGTGGGACTATCTCGGAAAAGAATGGCACGATGGGCGCAACACTAAAGGCAGCAGCTCATCTGGCCTTTAGCTACTCTACAACTACTCACCATTCCCAAACAAAATAGATGGGACACTGAAGTAGGCCCCTGACTCTAGACGAAGTTCATAAGACTATATATAATCTGAAACGACGAAAAACATCTGGTCCAGATGGATTGGCTCCAGAGGTCTCTAAATACGATGGTCTAATTTTAGCAATTAGGTTGACTGTTTTAGATAAAATTTGAGAGTTGAAAGTAATCCCTTTTGACTGTTCGCAATCACTGGTTATCTCGATATACAGGAAGGGATCAAAAACACCGAGATAACATGAGTGATTAGTTTGACAAATACAGAATCTAAAATACTAGCTACAATAATTATCAAGTGCCTACAAAGACTCGTGAACTGCAAACACATATATGACCTGTGTAGGTGAAGAACATGATTAATTTGCATCTATTTGAGCATAAATAAAACTACTGCATGAGTTGTTTTGATCTGTCAGGTAAACAATGCCATATACAAGTGATCAATGGATTATTAACTCTGTGACGTTGTAGACGCTTGTGTTATTCAAAGCTATCCATCACCTGTATGGAATTTCATTGTTTAATGTGTGGAAACAGTATATCCTATCAAGATAGAAATTGCATGGCTAATTGATAGTCTTTGAATGATGTGACAGTCTAAAATACTAGCTTCAATAATTATCAAACGCCTACAAAAGACTCGTGAGCTGCAAAGTCGACCTCAGACTTGGTCGTGGCTGCATCGATCATATATTCACTATTCATCAGATTCTAGAACACAAACATGCTTATCGGCGTCCGACAATGGTGGACCTTCTTGACTTAAAAGCAACATTTGACTCTGTAGACCGAGGGGTTCTATGGCATTGAAAGGTATACCTCAGAAATAAATAAACCTTGTAGTTAATTTCTAACCGAACACCGATAGTCCAGTCAGAGCTTATGGCGAACTGTCATCTGACTCTGTAACCTCAAGTGGTGTCCGTCGAGACCGTCCACTATCTCTATTTTTGTTCAATTTCACCATAGACATACTACTGGAAATAACGTTCTTGTCGTCTGTATGTTCAGGAATTGATCTGCTACCAGGAGGTCCACTTATCGACTTAAAATACGCAGATGACATAGTCCTGTTTGGTGAAGACGCTGATTAAATGCTTAGTCTTTTGGTAACACTGAGCAACAATGTCGAGGTGTTTGGTATGCGCTTCTCCCCCTCTAAATGCAAGTTGTTACTTTATGACTGGTCTGCGTCAACACCTTAACTAATGATAGGAAGTGAAGTAGTCGAACGCGTCGACAACTTCACCTATCTTGGAAGTCTGGTCAGCTCTAATGGATTGGTGTCTGACGAAATCTCTACACGGCTTCAAAAAGTTCGCTTGGCTTTTGCCAAATTACGTCACCTACAATGAAGGTGAGTTATCTGTCAGTCAATTAAAAGATGTTGTTTTACGTTACAGCTGCAAAACGTGACGATTAGGAATGCAAGATAATCGTAAGTTGCTTATGTTTGATCACAGATGTCGCACATATGTTGCTCACATCTGGGATCACCAGGCAAGTAATAGTGAGATTATACGCAAGGTATGAGGGAATGATGACAAGTCGGTTGATGAGGCTGTGAATCTTTATCGACTGAGATGGTTGGGCCACGTATTACGCATGCTCAACTACCGATTACCACGACGCGCAATGCATTTTAGTGTTGCAGACGGTTAGCAGGACGTTGAGGGCGACCAAACCAAAACGTAGCATCAGCGCTTGAAGTCACTAACTTCTGGCCTGAGCCATATTGACAGATGACTATTTAGTTGGCTCCGTGCGACTGTCGTAACCCTGGTTTACATGGCTCAAAATTGACCACGATGGTGTAGGTGTAAACACTGTTTTCCCTGAAACTGTGAGATTATAATTGCTTCATACTTTTTCCCACGAACTAATTATTTATTGTTATATCCATATGCACAGTCTTTTCTTCATATATTAGTACCATTGGAGCAACTGCTTCTATAATTTTTTTTCATGTTATGCTAATGAGGTGTAGTAAGTTGAACCGATGCATATGTGACTCCTACGTTGTGGCTGACTGACTGTCTATCAAGACGCTAAGGACATCGGACTTTGTTACAACTACCCGTATCAACAGCTCTTAAACCCAAGCCCGTATACAAATTTTTCGTCGACAATGTTTTATGGAAGAACTAAGCACATTTAGAACAGGTCTTGGATTTCGGCAAGAAATCCACTCAACAATTTGGCCAAATGGTTCGTGACGAAAAACCGTAAATCTAATTCCCAACCTTAACTATCAACGGTGAATCGCAACCCTTATTCTTCAAACTGCTTCACAATTCTCATTTAGCCCTAGATAATAGGTAAACACACACAAGACCACTTTGGCGTCCCCCAAAGATCGTCCATAAATTAGTCTCACCAATTTTTCTTACATGTAGTACTTTGTACACAGATTTACTGTCTGTACCGTACATACGAAAAATGCCTCGATAAACGACACACGGAATACTGTAAGTTACTAAGATTAGGAATCATCCAGGTCTCCCAATGCATGTTACGTGTACGACATACCATATAAAGTGTACGGCAAACATGCGAGATAATTTACCTTGTACGAGACACTGATCTTGACCGAGATCGTCCTGAATTACTAGCGCTCCTTGACGATGATCCTGTGAATGATCGACTTCTTGACACACTTCTTCGTTCCGTGCTTCTTCTGTCTGTGCTGCGTTCCGTGCTTCTTCTATCTGTACTTCTACGATCCATGCTTCTACGGTCTAAGCTCCTACGATCCGCACTTCTGCGATCTATGCTTCTACGGTCTCTGCCGTTATCTCTATACCCCCGACCGCCTGAAGAGGAAGAGCCTGTTCGGATACGTCTAGCATCACCATAGTTTCCAGGAGATGGGATACTCTTTTCTGGGCCTCGGAAACCCCGTTGGTTTGGAGGAAAGCGTCTAACCTGACGCCGCTCCTCATACACTGGAAAAGCAACTTCGGATGAATTTTGCAAATTACTCTTTGCTCTAGCTTTTTTGAGGTCCTTGAACCAAGTTAGCTCTACAGGGTAACCAAACATTGTTTTACCGTTGTGTCTGCAAATTATGTGAATGTAAAGCTTACCGACGAAGCATTTCGCTGGCAATCTCGTGGGACTTAAACCGTATGGCGACTGAGAATCTCTTCTTATCTTCTGAGGTAGAAAAAAATTCTACAGAGCACCTGGAATTTGTTTCATTACAGAAAAAGTCCCTGAATATTAGATATGAAAGGAGTGTCTTACTTCACTTTAGTTACATCTGTTGTCCCTGGAAGCCCTCTAATAAAGAGGGTGTGTCGACTAGGGAGGACATTACGAGGATTGAGTCTATCAAACTGCGGTCTACGGTACATTGTTTGCGATTACAATAGGCGGCTAGTTATGTCAGAACTCATTAAAACAAACTAATGGGATAGTCTCTGAAAATACCGAGCTTTATGTAATAAAATTTTGAACTTCCGAGCTTAAAAACTATTCTAGGGGAGAAAAGGGAACACTTCCTTGTGTTCTGTATAGGTCTCCTTCCTTCTATATTGGTTGGTGAAGCCTATTGGTTTATCTGGACGCTGAATGATGACATGCTCTTCCTTATTTTACATCCAGTGATTGCAGATCATTTGTGAACCAAATAGTAATGAGTATTGTTACTATGCTTAGCCATTGTTATTTTTTAAAGTTCGTCAGACTCCATGGTGCGTTTGCTTATATTCTATCTTCTCCTGTTCAAATCCATTTAATTTTTGTGGATGGCATGTTTTTATGTGTCCTATTAGCCATGTTTGAGTTTTATATTTTTTATACAACATTTTACTAGATATTCACACATGCCTGTTTTCATGATCGTTGTTTCTTTATCGACACAATAATATCTGTGGTGGCAGCGCATTTGTTTACTGGTAGCAAACATTTGATTACAGCTTTCACTTAGACATTTGATAATCGGCTCTCGTTTCACAACTATGGTGGGCTCACAACTATCGAATTTATCTAGTATTACTGTTTGGGATGTCTAATTAGTTATTGGTTAATTGTTCGTTGAGTGCTTGTATGTCTGCTTGTGGTTGCCTGATTTCGTACTTGAAGGTCGATTTCCATCGTTTCGTTAATCATTTTCCACATTATTTTATTCTTTCTTCATTTGACAGTGTGCGATATGTCCAGTACGTTTTTTTTTATTTCCACAAATAAGTTTTGTGAGCTAATTTCATCTTTTAATTCATCTACTATTTTTTGTGCGAGACATTAATTCTTGGACGAAACGATCAGATAGAAGATAATAGATCATGGATTTTGTGAAGAAATTGATTCATCCATTTGGTTATATAAAAATAAATCATATAGCTAATGTAAATTTGTGATGAAAAACGAAATCTAATTCTTTACCTCAACATCCAACTGTAAATTCTAACCATAATTTCCCACATTAATTTATAATCCTCTTTTGACCCTGGTGCGAATGTAGACATTCACAAGATCACTTAAGGGTCACTTAAAAGTCGTTCGGTAATTGGAATCACTTCGTCCTGATGGTTACCCCTCGTTCCATCGATAGAAAACAGACTAGTGGTGAATAGGTCTTATTTAGGTCGTCCAACAGAGCAGTTGGTGCACGAGATCGCCTTCTTCATGCAAAACATTTTTTCAATATTCAGTGTAAAATAATATGAAATATAATGCCTACACAAAATAAGAAAAATACTGAATACTTGAGTTATATTGTTTTGACATTACTAAGATGTTTGCGACTAACTGCTAACCAGTCTACCTGAATTGTTACAGTCTTACCCTTTTTACTCATTATTACTTAGTCCCAGAATCATTTGCTTGACAGTATTCAACACTGTTTCTTCTTCCTTCTCATCTAAAAGTTGTAGTAGTATTGTTTGTAAACAATATATCAGGGCAGGAATATGATAAATAGAAGTATTTAAAATAATCGCTAACTAAGAATTCCCGTAATAGCGTAATTTAAGCCAAGCAGAAGTAGATTAGCATAAATGAAGGTATCCAAGAATAGGAAGATGATGACCAGAAACATTCTAAATGAAAACATTGGCAAGCTTAACTACAACATCGGAATCGGATGACCTCAACCTCCTATAGCGGTAAATAAATCCCCAAAATAAATGGCTCTGTAAGTTTTCGACATTAGATGCTGACCACATTAGTTTTGGTGGATTCATCTAGCTAAAGGCTCTCGGTCATGCATCCGCACCAGGTCACGTGTGGGAACGCCGTGCTCAACATCTACCGTAATCGCTAGCCAGATTAGATCAGACGATTCTCGATATATTGTTAGCCTATCAAATATATCTTCGAACCTCCTCGCTTCTTTCTTTTGATTTCACTTGGTGGGTACGATTCATATTAGGTGTTACTGGTTAAAGCGTTGTCAAACTCCGAATACCTGTGGCATCTTCATTGATGAGCCCGACGTAATCTGGTACACTAAATTGCAAACTGTGAGTCTGTTTCTTTTTTGGGATTTTATATATCATTGTCTTATTCTAATTTTTTCATACATTGTGATATTTTTTCCGTGTTTTTGGATATATATATATATATATTTTTCACTCGTTCATTTTTCGTACTTGATATATCACTATGACTGAACAGACACCTGAAGTATTTAAATTAAAGACTATGTCCCACCTTCGTTCCAACTAATATCTTTCTGGCCAGACAACATCGAAGCCTGGTTCTGCTATGCAGAAGCCGAAATCTGCGAGCACGGCGTGAACGACGCACGTGCACAATTCCTCGCAGTAGTCAAGGCATTATCGTGCGAATTCAGCAGGTACGTAACACCTAGTATGTTTACTAGTCATGTTTCAGAACCCTACAAAACACATAAACGCGGAGATCTAACCGATCGACAAAGGTTAGACTAACTCCTTAATAACATCGACCTGCAACACGGCACTGCCACAGACATGTTGCAAAGAATGAGAGAAGTTATTGGCCAAAGAACCTTCAGTGATAGCCTGTTCAAACAACTTTTCTTATCAAAACTTCCTCAACAAATGCAAGCTGTGCTAGTCTAGTCTCAAAACAACGCCGTATACGAGCTGGCTGCATCAGCCGACCGCATCCTTGAAATCACTAAATCTTCTAACGCCGAGGTTTTATCAGTCAAAGAAAAGTCTCAAACGACCCAGAATGACATAACAGAGTTATGTCATACACTTACGCGTTATCTCAAACTTCGTAACGACCGTAAACGGTCACACACCTCGCGAAGAAACACTTCATTTAGGCGATCTGTCTCTAGACCTCGAGAGACGAATAACCCCGATTGATGCTGGTATCATAACCAGTATGGAAAGTCCGCCAGAAATTGCAGAAATCCCTGCAATTTTACCAACGCAAAATCGGTCGACACGAAAAATGTTTCAGGAAACTTCCAAGCCGGCACGCTTTAACGGCAACCGTAGCCGGCAAACATAGCTGTCTGTTATGCGTCACAGATGCGATAACGAGAGTTCGCTACCTTATCGATACTGGCGCAGAAGTTGGCGTTCTTTCAGCGAATTTCAACGACCGGTTTCACGAATCGGTTTTAAATCTACAGGCGGCAAACGGAAAGCCCATCGTTACGTATGGCGAAAGGTAGGTTTATCTTAACGTGGGTTTACGTAATTCCATTTACTGGATCTTTGTTGTTGTGGAAGTTTCTATGCCGATCATTGGTATGGACCATCTACACGCCGACTGGCTCCCGAAAAGCTGAGGTTGGCCACAAACGAATTTGACCATATGGTAGACTTAGGAATCATACGACCGTCAAATAGCCCATGGGCATCTCCCTTGCACATGGTTTCTAAAAAGGAAAGCAACGAATGGCGTTCAAGTGGTGACTATCGATGACTGAATGCAAAAACCATTCCCGTTGCTCAACATTCAAGACTTCACAGCTATCTTGAAAAATACAAATGTCTTTTCGAAAATCGACTTGGTTAAAGCGTATAACCAAATTCCCATTGCCACTGACGACATTCCGAAATCCGCTATCATAACTATTTTCGGTCTCTAGTAATTTCCGCGAATGCTTTTTGGTCTAAGAACTGCTGCCCAAACATTCCAAAGGTTCATAGATGACGTTTTTTGATGTCCCAACTTCGTATATGTGTATGTTGATGACTGCTTGATAGCAAGTCTAGACAAAGAATCACATCTCCAGCATCTGGACCCTGTTTTCGAACGACTGCAAAAGCATGACATTACTGTAAACATCCAGAAATGCCAAGTCGGAACCGACTCCTTAGACTTCTTAGGACACACTATCGATGCGCAAGGTATCCCACCCCTTAGAACAAAAGTGGCGGCCATTCTGGATTACCCAGAAACGACCACCATCAAGCAGTTGAGCACGTCTAACGGCCTTGTAAGTTTCTATAGACGGTTCATACCGAAATGCGCGTTACTTATGAAACCTCTTACCGACCAACATAGTGGGAATGCAAAATCCATCAATCTGGATGACACCGCACGAAAAGCATTCTCCACATTTAAGTAATGTAACGCTCAAGCAACAATGCTTGCTCATCAGTACACTGAAGCGCCCATTAGAATCGCAATAGACGCATCCGACTCAGCAATCGGAGGAGTCTTACAACAATGGGTTAACCACTCCTGGCAACCTTTGGCATTTTTCTCTAGACGGTTGCTAGACACTGAATCGAGGTAAAGACAAATGCCAGACACTGGATCGAGGTACAACACATTCGGTAGGGAACTTCTAGCTATGTACTGGGCTGTACGGCATTTTCAACACTATATCGATGGCCGTGAATTCACCCTTTTCACTGACAATAAACCGCCTACTTCCTCCTTAAGCTCTTCTTCAGAAGAGTACTCACCTCGTGAGTCTCGAAAACTTGACTACATCTCGCAGTTTACCTCAGATATTCGACACATTTCTGGAGCAAACAATGTAGTTGCAGTCGCCTTGTCTAGCATAACTTCCTTAAACAGTTTCCAAGGATTAGACCCTCTGAAACTCGCCCAGCTTCAAAAAGACGACACTGATCTTCAGCACGAGTTAGCGTCAACAACACTTAAACTGCGAATTAAACAGATGGAAACAGGTAAGGAAACCTCACTGTGTGACACATCTACAGGTAGGGATCGCCCAATCGTGCCAAAACATTATCGACGCAACGTCTTTAATACGTTGCACAAAATTTCTCATCCAGGTGTTCGTGCAACCATCAAGCTTGTAGCAAAACGGTTTTGCTGGCCTGGTATGAATAAAGACATGAGGGAGTTGGCACGCTCCTGTGTAAGCTGCCAAAAATCTAAGGTGATTAGACATAACAAATGTCCCTTAGGCTCATTTAAAACTCCCGATGCT